CGATCACATGGAAACCACCTATCGTCCCAGTTCTCTGGATCATCTCAAAACTTTTTTAAACAACTGGGGTGATCGGGATGATCATATGGAAACAAGGCTTTATATATGCCTATCTTCCCATAATAAACACTTAGAGATCTCCATCTTTAAGGTGATTGCTGCAGAGTTTCACCTCACCTACAGCTGTATACTAACATTAAAAGCCGGAGTCAAGCTTAATATTTTAATTAGAGAGCATCATAAAATATTTTTCCTGGAAAAGATTTCAAAGGTGTATTTTGATGTGGCATGCGATCGAGTTACAATGTAGAACATTTCAAACTTAAAAACCTGAATCTTCAACAAAAAGAGTTATAGAGAAGCTGGTAAATGATGAGGATGTTTTTGTAAACCAGCTGAATCTGGATTGTATTATTTTCCATTCTGCACAAACAAAAATATTATTATACCACCAATTGTTAAAGAAACAAAAGAATGTTACTGTACTTACAGTAAACACCCACTCACTAATAAGAAACTGTGGTTTAAGAACCTGCTGGAGAACATAAAGTCCTGAATAAAGCGGCTAAAATAGTTCTAAAATAGGCTGGGCAAAAAGAAAAGGAAACTCAACAAGGCAGCTCTCAAAACAGTTAGCAAGCTAAGTCTGGGGCAGTTTCCTGGAAAGAGACGGTTGGAGGGCTGTGAGATGGCAAAAAAAAAACCTTGCTCAGTCACCAAGCAACGTTCAGCTAGTCTCCTTGGCAAAGAAGTAAAAAAACCTTACTGCAGAGAGAGGCCGGGATGATTATATTTTGTTTACATGAATGCTTAAAATATTTTTTTGGCTGCCTAATCTGAAAAAATGATATTGTTTGGGGGTCAAAGTGGCTCCTGTGTACCAGGTGATGAAAAAGCTAAAAGTGGCTCATATGGGGCTCTAGACGCTATGATGACTTATCCCACTCTATGCCATGTGCAATGGCTACAGAATGTGATAAGAAAAAAAAGGGGACCTGCAGCTTACTGAACTTCTGAATACAATCATGTACTTGATAGAGCAATAAACATCTTTTAGAAATTTCATGTAAAAATAAAGTTTTGATCAAAAGTTAATACTGAGTATGAAATTAGAGGAACAAACTTTTGGGACACCCTGTACATCTCCTTCATAAAAATTAAGAACCTACAGTTGTACTTAGCCTTAATTACTCTGTAACGTACCCCAAAATAAATGAACCCTTTTTGCCAGACCTCAAAAAAAAATGTAAGTTAGGGAAAGTTCATTTAATATGACAAGGGGGGGGATGAAGATATTGAAACTCGAAGCTTGAAATTTTAGCAGCCCCCCTCGCTAGCAGTTCAATTTTTTAGGAGCCCCCTCCTTGGTAGTCGAAACAATTTCAGAGTCCCCCCCCCCCTCCTCCTTCAATTCCTTTGCTCCCCTGAAAAAAGATCGCTAGACTGTATTAAATATATTTACCGTTATTGTCTTCAATAATTGTTTATACTATGACAAACTTGAGATACAGTTCTGATACAATTTTCTAAAGCATTTTTAGGATGAACAAGAGTGTAATAATTACTGAGACTACATTTGTTATATCTGTAAACCACGTGATATAGCTGAGTTGCGCACAGGTCATTAAATTGTTGAGTTGAAAACCATCCGATCTGTATGATGATGTCATGTGTTGGTTTTGAAGTATACAAATTTTCGGAGCCCCCCCTCCTAGCACAACAATTTTTTCAGAGCCCCCCCTTCAGATGTCTAAAAATTTTCGGAGCCCCCCCTCAATATCTTCATCCCCCCCCCCCTTGTCATATTAAATGAACTTTCCCTTAGGTTCTTATTAGCGAGTGTTTACTGTACATGTGTGACAAGGTCACTTAAGTTCATTTTAAGCTTATTTTATTTCCAAATCATTTTCAACTATACTCATTATCCTAATGATTATTAATTGGTTGTTTACCTAAATATCTTTATTTCCTTACACACCTTATTGTGTTTACCATGTGTAGTTGTATTATTCCCACACATTTCTTGTACCTAAATCCTGTTGTGTAGGAGTAACAAACACCTAGTTCCCTTTGGTAAATCCTGTATTAGTGGGCAGTAAATTCACTCCCTAGCCTTATTTGGTTTTTAGTTATTTTCGATTTTCCACCAAATTTATTATAAATTGGCAACCATTTGCTCAGTAAATTCAATTGGTTCAGTTGGTTTACCTAAGTAGAGCAAGTCCTCAAGTCAAGTACATTTTCAAGTCTCCCACAGATGTTTAGTTATCAATAACATTTGGTATGTTACATTATTTTCCTATTTGTTTATTATTTTAGTCCTTTTAGCTTAGTTTATTAGCTTTCTATTTCCCTAGTTTGTAGCAATATTATTTTAAAATTTAGCCGCATTTTCAATAGCGTTCTGTTTAGAATGTTTACCTCATTTGACCTTTAGTCTGGCACAGCATGTAATTTGCCTGTTAAACATTCTGCTATTGTTCTCACCAATAGTTACTGTATCATCGCTTACCTTTGGTTTCCAATCATTTTCTGTAATTGTTCCCTTGTGTTCAATCCATTTTTGTTCCAAATTATCCTTTTGTCATTGCTTTTCGTGGTTTAGTTTCATTGTACTAGTTATTAGCTTAGTCTATTTTGCAGTTCATGTAATAGTTCTCAGATTATACTCAGCTTTTGGTTTGTTTACATTTTTAAGGTGGCTCCGTAATTAATACAAGAGCATTTAGCTGTGACAAATTTTCTGTCATAACTTTTTGGTTTTTAACGCGATGGCTGCGAAACTTTGCAAAGAACAACAGATATCATTAGGCAATGATTCGAAATATTCCGATTTCACTGATGGTAAATATTTCTCGAGAAATTAGCGCTTAAAAGGACCCTACTGTTCAAAGAAAATCGCGTCTAGTAAAAATTTTGCTGATATTTTTTACTGAAATTTCTGGTATCGGCTTTAATTGATATAATAAATATGCCAGAGGAATTTCAGAAAAATCGTTGGAGCAGAAGTCCGAAACTAAAAGTCGCTCAAAATTCAGCTGTGAAATTGTTTTGGAATTTCAAAAATAAATTACCATCAGCGAGAAGGAGCCACCAGTTTGAATTTTCGGGACAAGTAAATTCAATGTTTGCTAATTCTGAAAACAGAAGCCGATTGCCTATCGTGCTATTCTTTAAAAGGTACTGTTCAGTTTTAGAAGCACTATAAATTGCTTCAAAACTTTGCTCTGACGTCGAATGACTTGTTGTCCTTGTTCCTCGACATTTTTAAAATATCCCTTGGCAGTTTTGGTTCAAACTCCTGCTGCACACATTTTGATGTATTGCAATGCATCCTCAACGGCTTTTCCTGCTGTCGTTGTTTCCAATTCAGGAAAAAGGTATTGGGATTGTAAAAGCTACCTTGTATCAAAGCTCAGATAGAACTGTCCAGCACCTTTGTTTATGACCAGAAAATGAGCACGGCGGCGCTTGTGCGAGGAATTCGCACCTCAGCCAGGGGGGGACGAATGACAATGATGCCCATGTCTGTGAACCGATCTGTATAAACATGTATTGCAGAGCAAAACATAATAATCAAGAAAAAATACCCATTCATTGAGGGAAGGAGGACAAAAATTCCAGAGTTGTAAATTTGTTCACGGGCAGTATTTTTTGGCGATAATTTTATTTTGGACTGTGATGTTATTCGGTTCACAGGCATGGTCATCGATGTCGCTCGTCCCCCTGTGTGAGGTGCGAATTCCACGCAGAACTGCCGCCGTGCTCATTTTGTAGTCATAAACAAAGGTGCTGGACAGTTCTATCTGAGCTCTGGTACGAGGTAGCGTCCAATCTCAATACTTTTTTCCTGAGTTGGAAGCAACGAACAGAAGTAAAAGTCGTTGAAAATGCATTGCAATACATCAAAATGTATGCAGCAGGAGTTTGAACCAAAACTGCCATGGGATATTTTAAAAATGTCGAAGAACAAGTAATTCTACCTCAGAGCAAGGTTTGGAGCAATTTATAGTGCTTCTACAACTAAACAGTACCTTTTAAAGAATAGCACGATAGGCAATCGGCTTTTGTTTTAAGAATTAGAAAACGTTGAATTTACTTGTCACGAAAATTCAAACTGGTGGCTCCTTCTACCCGATAGTAATTTATTTTTGAAATTCCAAAACAATTTCACAGCTGAATTTTGAGCGACTTTTAGTTTCGGACTTCTGCTCCAACGATTTTTCTGAAATTCCTCTGGCATATTTATTATATCAATTAAAGCCGATACCAGAAATTTCAGTAAAAAATATCAGCAAAATTTTTTACTAGACGCGATTTTCTTTGAACAGTAGCCGGTCCTTTTAAGCGCTAATTTCTCAAGAAATATTTACCATCAATGAAATCGGAATATTTCGTGTTATTGCCGAATAATATCTGTTGTTCTTTGCAAAGTTTCGCAGCCATCGCGTTAAAAACCAAAAAGTTATGACGGAAAATTTGTCACAGCTAAATGCTCTTGTATTAATTACGGAGCCACCTTAAGTCACTTTTATAGTTTTTCTAAGTAATGTTATTGCCCTTTTTAAATGCAATTATTAGTGAGCATTATGCAATCAGTTATCTAGTCTTATTCTTGTTTCTAATATTTAGCCTGTAAATACTGTTTAGCTTATTGTAGTTTTTGCTTTATTTTTGTATTTTAGTTTCTCGTTCCCGTTTTTTTGTTTGTTCAATAAACTCGTAAAACTTAAGCTCAAATCTGCTGTTCTTGCGTCGACCGTTTTGGCCGTCTTACACATGTATCGCATTCATTTTACCTGTTTTGGTTTCTTAGTTAGAGCGATAACACAAGATTTACTACAAACATCAGTGAACTTAAGCCAGTGTATGTGGCTTAATCCAGTCATGTCCAGTGATTCCAATCAACTGCAGCATTAAATTTAAACATCTGCCTTGATAACATTTATTCATGAAAGTAAAATAAGAACTGTTGACTTGTGTCTTCGAATTTTTTAGTTTCAAACAACAATTACCTTTCCTGTGGCAGTACTCTCTGCAAAAGCCACAGCAATGTGACCCTCCACGGTCACTGTTATTCCATGTACAACATAACGTACTACTTTATCCAGCTGAATTCTGCGAACAAATTCGCCATTAACAGTGTATATAGCCAGCGTCAGGCGCTTTGTCCCTCGTTCATAACCAGCAAGGACAACAAGGTCACTTGCCGGGTGACATGCAATGCGATAATAGTCATCTCTCTCATGTTTGATATTAAATTTGCCAAGCTGGTGACCCTCCACATCAAATATGTACAAACTGTCATCGCCCCAGTCCACTATCATGACGCGACCATCACAAGTAGTGATATCTGTTGCATGCTTGAACACTCCTCCACCAAAGCTACAAACGAACTCGCCACTCGGCTCATGAATATCAACAACGTCACCTGTCAACAGGTCACCTGCCAACAGCAGAATTTTGCCCCGTTTTTTGCCGCTGGTCACTGTTAGTCTGCCCCAGTCCCCTCTCCTCACAGGAAACTTGTGCTGTAGGTCACCAGTCTTGTTAAAAACCTGCACTTCCTTCTCCCATTCCTCAGCCCCAGGCTTCTTCAGTCGGACCAGAAGATAAATCCTGTCGTCCTCGCCTGCAGTGGCGACATCCAAAATATTTAACTTTGTATCGGCGTCATCAGTTTGAGGATTAAACCTAAAATGAAACTTTCCGTTGCTATCAAACACCTTCACGGTTTTATCCCCATTGTCTGCTATCTGGAATTGTCCTCTATGGTTTGTAGCGATACCCCACGGATTCTTCAGCTTGTGCTCCTCTTCACCCTCCTGACCAAATGACCATGGTGTAACACAGCAGTGCTCCTTACCTTGTTTTGTCAGTATTTTAACAACTCTTTCGTTGCGGAGTGGATCCACTTTCTCTTTCCCAGTTTCAACATCAGGCAAAGTCCACCTTTTTACACTACCGAGCATGCTCATTACATCATAGATCACACGATTAGCGTGACAGACAGAGAAAATTATTTGCCTTCTTTCGTCTTTATTAAAGCGAGCCCTCAATCTCAATCCTTCCTCCAACTCAACTTTGAAATATTCTTTAACAGCTGGCACTTGGTGTAACTCGTCAAGGCAGACTCTACAAGCCCCTAATGCGTCCGTAGGATTGTCAATATTCCTCAGTATCGTAGCCATCAGTCGATATTGCATAGCTAACAGGCGATCAGGTAATTCCAAAGCTTCATTACTAAAAGCTCTCATTGCTTCCAATCGAGCTTCACTAAATGTCTCCTTCGCTGTGCTAAGCTTCCTCGTGGCCGACTCATCCAAGGCAGTAAGCTGTAATTTCCTCATTTCTTTAGCAATATCGAATTGCTCAACACAAGCTGTTGCAGCGGCTTCTATCGCGCGATTCTCGGTACTGGGTCTGGCACTTTCAAACACTTCATACAACAACTCGATTCCTTCTTTAAAAAGGCTCATACTTGTCTTCAAAGGCGTTCTTGCTAAACCATCTAACTTCGACTTTATTTCGTCGATTTCACGGACGATCAGGCCACGGAATTTCTGATCTGTAACATCACCCTCATTCAACTTTTCTGCCAGTTTATCTCTTCCTTTATTCACCAACATACCGATAGTGGCTTTAAATACAGCTGTTATTAGTGAAGACATGTTGATTACTCCCGTCAATGAAACTTTTAGTCTGCACTAGTATCTCCTTAACCGTTCAGTTCAACCGCTGGCTGTAGATAAAGAAATGCATGCGAAGTTATTAATTAAGTTGTCAGTAACAACTTAAACAGAAAAAATTTCAAGAAAAATTCTCAAATGAGAACTTAGTAAAAACGAGGAGAAAATGATTGTCTAGTGCTTTAGAAAAGAAACTTAATAAAAAATCTGTTTCTGGTGTGTTTTGAGGAAAAATCTTCACTTTGCTTAAACTTGCTAGCTATGATTTTGGATACCGCTTTAAATCCGTCCGACAAACATGTTTAATATAAACACTTGAGGGCTATCTTTTCAGTGAAGGAGTCACCTATTAAGTAAATTCATGTGTACAGCAATCTGGTATAGGCAATAATTGTGACGTCATGTACTATTGAATAAACGGTTTTTCTGCCATTTCAATTGCAGCAATTAAAATCATAATCCTGTACTGACCTTCTCCTTAATATTTCTATTTACTTTCAACACCACCCTCAGCTGTTCACCGCTGATTCGAAAAGCTTCGAATTGCTTATTTGTTTACGTATCATTTTAGGTCATTTTATGTGCTTCATTGAAATAAGGGTGGCATGAATAAAACAGTAAGATCGGCTTCAGTATCTCAGGAGCACAACGAGAATATAGTTCAAAACCACTTAAACATAGCACTGTTAAGCGTATTTTAGTATTTAAACGGTAGATATAGGCATATTTTTATCCCCTAAAAAGTTTTCATCTGTTCGGATTTCCTAGCTGAAAGTCTAGTGATCCAAAAATTATAGAGATCAAAATCTACCTTTTCGAAAATTTCAGCCAGAAAAAAGGCTCCCGAAAATTCTAGGTGACCTTTTTGGGGTAAAAATCCGTTAAAAATAGGCAATTATACCATTTTTTTGATGTTCGAAAATCCTCGGAGAGGCAGGGAAACAAGAAATTTTACAACAAATGATCCGAAAATTCTAGATCTCAAATCGTCTTCCGAACAGATATTCTTCCGAAAATTGTCGTTGGGTGCCCCTGGTATCTGAATACCTTAACGTGTAATAGAACTTCAAATCAGACATGAAAAATAGCGATGGTTGTTAGCACTGACAAATTGATCATATCGGCGGGAACATTATTGAATCACTGATTACAAACTAAGGAATAGTCACCTTGGTCAGAGTCATACTTAACGTAAATCCTCTATCAAGCCCCTCTAATAAAACCTCCTAACCCGCCTTTTTCAGGGAAGGAAAGTTAATGAGCGCCCCCCTATCTCTATTAAGCCCCCCTCTCTCCCTCCCCTCCATCCTTATTTTTTACAAACAATTAACGTGGACTGATCAGTTCTCTCTTGGTACCATGTATTCAGGCTGGAAGTTCATATTTGTTTTTGTCTTCGGCCGCATACATACATACATACATACATAAACTTTATTTATCCTCGGATTTTAGTGTAGCTTACATAGCTAGTATCTCCGATCCTAACTAATTTTAAAAGTTACAACATATATAATATAATATTAATTAATGTAGTATTAACTAAAACTGTGCACTAACAATTTGCGCTTAAATTCACTATAATCTACAGTCTTTCTAAAGTGATCAGGTAGAGAATTCCAGTACTTTAACAGATGAATAGCTAAAGGAATTTAGACCATATGTGGTTGTAGACGGCTTAGAAAGTGATAAAATATTAGTACCCCGTAGGGAGTAAGCAGTAGATCTTAACTTGATCAGTTGTTTTAAATAGCACGGATATTTACCAAAATGGAGACATTTGAATATACAAATCATCATATTTTGTATCCTCCTGTTGGCTAAACCACACACACCAGCCTTGTCTAGAAGAGCATCATAGTTCGAGTCCCAGTCCTTTAAAACAAATCTTAAAATACGTCTATTTAAGGTGTCCAGTTTGACAGAATCTTCTGAATTACAAAAGTGCCATATCATTGAACAGTAGTGAAAATGGGGTAAGATAAACGCTTTATAAAGGCGAAGCATAATTTCGGATGAGATAAGTTTGCCAAATCTTTTGAAGACACTGAACTGATTATTTATTTTTTTGCATACAGAGGATATGTGAGCCTTGAAATTAAGTTCATTGTCTAGAGATATTCCAAAAAGATCCAGCCATCTTGTGGTTAAAAAGGAGAAAGGGGAATCGGTTTTGCCAAGAACCATCCCTTGATGTTTAGCAGGGTTTGCTTTCATCCCATTGTCTTCGAACCATTTATTTGCTATTTGTACATCATGATTGATCCACCGTTCCAAGGCCACTGGGTCTACATCAGATGAGTGCAGTTGGCAGTCATCGGCATAAGTGTTTAATTTTACAGACTTTACATGTTGATTTTACATGTTGAAAAACATGGGTCCCAGGACGCTGCCTTGAGGCACGCCCCGCTTCACACTCATCCAATCCGAATAAGTATCACAAATTTTCACTCGCTGCCTTCTATCCGTCAAGTAGTCACCGATAAGGGCGCAGCTGGATTCGTGCAAGCCATACGCTTTCAGTTTTGCTAATAGCAAAGCATGAGGTATGGTGTCGAAAGCCTTTGACAAATCCATTGATATAACCGCCACGATCTCTTTATTGTCTAGACTGCGCCTCCAGTCCTCAGTCAGCCTAAGTAAAGATGTCTCACAGCTATGGTGCCTCCTGTAGGCAGATAGGTATTCAGACAATATGTTCTGGTAAAAGTCGCCCATTTGAGCTGAAAGTAGCCTCTCAAAAACGTTATTGAGCGCAGGTAATACGGTCACTGGTCGATAATTGCTTTTGTTTAGTTCATCGTCCTTTTTAAATAAAGGAGTAACTTGACCTAATTTCAAGCGCGACGGATACTGTCCTGTCCTAATCGAGTGATTCATTATTGCAGCTATAGGACCAGCAATCGCGTTGGCAGACTCTTTTAACAGTCGCGGTGGTATTCCGTCATAACCACAGGATTTACGGGAGTTGATTTTGAGTAACAAAGCTTCCACTTGGGTTTTATTAGTATATTGAAAAGCAAAATTGTTTCTCGCAGCGATCTGCTCATTGTTATTAAAAATCGCCTGAATGCTAGGATGTGCATCAAACCCTTTTCCATAACTCTGTTCGGTAATCTCTGGCACGCCGTCCGCGATGTTCACGAAATAACTATTAAAAAGCTCCGCTATTTGTTTCTTGTCTGTTATTACGACGTCGTGTTCTTTTAGTATTATGTCATTAGCTTGCGTACTTTTCTTTGAATGCAAAAATGGGCGGTATGTGTCCCAAAACTCCCTTGGGTTTTCCGACTCACTTTTCTTGTCAAAGAAAGTTTTAATAGCTTTACGTCTTAGAGAAGTGCAAATGTTCCTTTGTCTCTTGTACAATTCATAATTAGTATCAGTTCTTTCACGAATGAAGCACTTCCACAAACGGTTCTTCTGACGAATAGCTCTGCGCCATTGTTCATTCATAAAGGGAACTTGATTTCCCTTTATGCGGACCTGTTTCAAAGGTGCGTGCTTACAAAGAATGTCCTCATATAAACAATCAAACACGTAGAGCCTATCATCAACGTCGTCAAATATTTCAGCTACTTGGAAAGGAACATTATGCAAATCATGTAGAAAATGCTGTTTATCAAAATTCTTAAGGCTTCTAAATCGTATTTCCCGAGATCGTATTCTCGGTTCCGATGCTCTGAGAATGGTAAACACAAGAGAGTGATCACTTATTTTAACATGGACTACGCCCGATGACTGTATTTTCTTCACGTTGTCAGTGAGAAAAAGGTCCAGTAGGGTTTCTGATGTTCTAGTGATACGGGTGGCTTCATGTATTAAATTCTTCAAGTCGGCCGCATGATCTCCAACTTCATGTGCTTAACTTTTTTAACTCAACGCTTTATTTCTCTGTGTAACCATAATGAGAATTTTGTTTCTGTTAGTTTTACTGCTCCCACAAGTGAATTAAATACTGTTGACAGTGACTTGTACAACACGCAACCGGTCAACTCTGTCTCTTACTACGGTATTTTTGCTACCGGTGATGCGTTTCGCTAAATCAAATAATCCCCCCTCCACCCTCTCTTTTATAAGCTTCTCTCTATTAGCCTGCGTAGCAAGCGTTTCCGTGCTGTTTCGAAGCAAGAAGACCGAGGAACGAGATTCTCTGTTTTGGCCGCGCGAGAAATGAAACGAGAGCCACCCCTCCCCGCTTACTCGCGCCATTTTTCGCGCGGTCCGTGCTCGGAAACAGCACGGCCATTTTTCGCCCGGTCCTTGCTCGGAAACAGCACGGAAACGCTTGCTACGCAGGCTACTCTCTATTATCAAAAGTGCTTGTTAAAAATATGCACCCCGGGGAGCCAATAGAGAATTTACGGTATGTCCAAAAATTGCTAAAACTTATCTACCTGCATTTTTCCTGTTTCGGTAACTATCGCTTCATTAGTAGTGGTAAAATGAAACTGTTAGTATTTTAGTTTTATTAGAGAAAATGTCATGTAAAGGGAATAAGTGAGGTATCGCGACAACACGCTCAATTATTTAAGTTTCATCCTTGAAATATTCGACCAACCGTGGAAATCACATATAACAACACTTTCCTACTGAAAAACTTGCAATCAAATTTCAGCTTGTGCGGTACTTTTTTGTTCTGCAATCAGGTGTTAAAGCAAAGCTATTGAAAAAAGTTTTCGTCCCAGTTTAGTTTCAGAAAGACCGGCAAGCGTTGCAATCCACTACGTTCATTACCGTTCTCAAAGATGCATTACAACGCCTTCGAAACCTAAAGTAGAATTAAAGTACAAATATCACTACGAGAACGCATAAAATTTATAATATAACGACGTCAGATCGATGTTCCTCGATAGGTACCCGGTAGCGATTGTGTCCTTCAGCCGCGAATGTTCGATCCATTGAGTCCTCTCAAATCCACTCTTGTAATCCACTCTCCACTCTTTTCCACGACGAATCTACTCTTGCAAGCTACAACTCATGTCTTTGAATTAATCACAGTTTCGCCTTACTGAAAGGTACGATTTATGAATACTAAATATTAAGGGCTTCAACAAAAACATGCATATGGGCGTCACGAACTTTCGCACGAATCAGCGAAACACCGTTTCCAGTCAGTTGTGCGGTAAATACACTTTAAGATAATATACAACTTGATGCTTTCAATAAATATATCTAAATCAATAAGCTCCTACTCAGAAATATTTTTTCTGTTATTTTGAGCCCACGGTGATTCCCAACTGAGTTTCGCTACTACTGTGTTTTAGTTAAATTGAAAGAACTACCGTTAAACTCTTTATTCCAAGTAAAAATCTGCCATCTTTCTTAGCTTTACTTCTATGTTTGAGAATTCGAAATTCGGCTTAAATTCACTGATAGAATGCAGGGCCACTTGCACACTTCATCAGGCATCGAGCGGTTCGTTTGGCTCATTTGTTTTTTCGCAGTATACAAACAACAAACAAGTCCTCAGCTCCACTGCTGTGTAGACGAGCCACAACAAAAGCCTGATGACGGCCACCAAAAAATAACTCCTTCATCGTTCTTAATTTCTATCCACAGCCATACTAATGACCTCTATTTCCTGTGTAGTCGCTCCCGAAAGGCATAAATTTTGCTTTTGTTTTAGCATTTTGTGCTTCAGCAAAAGAAGGGTGGCTTGAAGACCCAGCTTCAGTAAGGCCGGTAATCAGTGTTGTCACGGACTTTGGGCACGTACGAGAAATTACAGGAAAAAAACTTATGGTTGGTAATCGAGACAGTTTGATCGCACCGAGTGTAGCCTGCGTAGCAAGCGTTTCCTCGCGGGGCTCGTCTAGATAGCTGGGACAAGAGCGAAAAAAAAAAAAAGAATAACCACTCCCCCTCCCCCTTCAACCTTTTTTTTGCTTCCGCTCTAACTTTCGCGCAATAACTCGATTGGAAACACTAGCTACGCAGGCTACACCGAGTGATTTTATGTAACCCGTAGAGAAGTATCTCGTAACAATTAGTCATGCTCAATAGTTAAAAGATTAAACAAAAGAAAGTATTAAATGAAATTAGAGTGCAATACGGCGAACTATAGTAGTGTCTGCTATCTATTTCACAAGTCAAGTGTAATCAGAATTTTAATGATAAAGCTGAGAAATACAACTTCCCCCAACATTATCCATAACTCAAGTTGGATGTAAACTTCAAGTGAATCTAATATGAATAAATTCAGTCAGCAGTAACTCTTTAAAGTTTGCTAAGATAAGTCAGATCATAAACTATGAGACATACATGTTTGTAAAAAAAATTTCTTTATATAGGCGGATAAAGAGTTCTCGTCCCTACCTGCTTGTGAAGGATTCATCCGGCTATCAGACTAAAAGCGAACAGACTGCGCGTTTAAAATGGTGACGAAGAACTGAGCTGAACTGAGCTGACTGTTATCTAGCTGTCCGTGCCACTATTTTCTTTTATGGAATTTCCAGTCAATAAATATTCTTGGAATTTTTTTTTTTTATTTTTGTTTAATGTTTAAAGCAGTTTTTTTTTGTTTTTCTTAATTTGACGGGTATTTTTTAATGACTAAACTGTCGGAATTTCGTGACACAGCTCCTGTTTAGGTTATTGCAAAATGCCCGTCAAACTAAAAGAAACGTAAAAATAACCGCTTAAAACATTAAAAGAAGGTTAAAATAACACAACAGATACAACAGCTTCCACGGATGGGCAAAACTGAAGAAGATTGAAACGGATTGAAATTAGGGTTTTTGAAAAATGTTCAGCCTAACAGTTTTTCAACGTTAATCTCTGCTGTTTGCAGCTTTAAAATAATGCTCAGGGGACATATTTGTTTGTCTCTAATCTCTGATTTTGTCATTTACATGTAATTTCTTTGCTTACTTTAAGTTCCATAGCAATTGAGGGCGAGTAATTGGCAAAATAAAACAAAATGAACTGGACTGCCGTGACACAGCCCCTTTAAATTTAGCATTTTCATGTAACGAGACACCTGAAGGTGCATACTGGGTTGCCACAAAACCTAGACTAGAAAGAAATAATGTATTGTTTGAAAACGAAAAGTTTACCATAAAAACAGACAGCAGACAGGGTATAAAAGGAAGATGTAACCCTGCGCGCTAATCCGGCATTCCCATCCCGGAAACCACCCCAACCCACGGGTCTCATTAAACTGTTTGAACTGAGACTAGTAATGAAACGATAATGATAATTGATGGTCGATACAAAACAAGCTAGGTGGGTGTACCGTGTGGCACTTTGCGGGAGTTTATTTTTGCGGATTAGGGATTTTTTCTGTTTCGCTGAAACTAATTTTTGCGACTATAGGACACATTGGCTTTCCTCGCTGAGAATTAATTTTTGCGATTTTCAAAAAGTTCCCAGCAACCAGCATAGATAATATTTTCGTTCTTGTTAAGTACATGCAATCGGGGTGTAATAGAAATACATATTTTCAAACAGTACTAAGGTATGCGTACCATGTAAAACCAGTAATTCATTGTATACGTTTCGTCTCTGAATGAAAGAGGCGAGTTGTAATTGAACAGACACAATTTTTTTGTACTTTATTTTTGTGCAGCAATATTAAGTCAGAGTATATTAAATTTACTCTGGAGTAAATTTTTGCGGGAGAAATGTTTGCGCTATTTTTTTTTTGGGGGGGTGAAACTTATTTTCGCAAAAATTTTGTGCCACACGGCATCTCTAGTTTATCTGAACTTTGTTTGTTTTGTTGACAGCTTGTCTCTATTTCTGAGGAAAACAACAATAAAAAAAAGTTGTCCCGTTCGTAGGAGAAAGGCTTCAGCGCATCTGAAAGTTTCTTTAATCGCGTACAGTACCATTGAGCTGTTGTTAGCGCGGCCGCACAGAGTTAAATTGTCTAAACTAAACCAAATTAGTTCGACATGGACAGAGTTTTTAAGACAAGAAAAGTGGTTTTTTTTTAGTTTTTCATCAGTAGTATTTTTATAAGGTTTGATTTTATACACTGCAAACCGACCGGGTGAAAATGAACTCATTCAAATTTTGAACTACCATGGAGGGGAAGTATAGTTTTTGAACACAGGCTAGCGTATGCATTTGATAAGAGTGTTCATTCCGGAGGTCACTTATGACGCTTTTTATCCCGGGGAGTACTCCACATAATGGCCTTCATTGGGAGGCTTCGCGCGAAAAGGGTACCTTTCTTAGGCTTTAGGTATTAAAAAAGTACAGATTTCACTAGCTGTAGTATATGAAAGGGTAGGAATGCATCATTTCAGTCAGTAAAAAGGCCCAAAAGGACTAGGCTCACCGTAGGCTCACGATCACGCTGTTTATCTTTCCTTGCAAGAAAACATACTTTGCATAGCGAGATCTTATATCTTCTTTCACCTTTATTACCTCGATCGGAATCGTTGTAAACATGTCCGTTCAATTTATTTTTTTTAATACCATGTACATATTTAACTAACAACAGCCTCTGTATAAACATCTACACGACGACATTAGAAGATTGATCACTGAATAAGCGATTACAATAATTGCATCAATGATGATAAAAACAAAGAAAGATAAAATCAATGAAGTCAATACAAAAATTAAATGTAAAAGCAAGGATATTGTTGCCCAAAAGCTGGCTATTGAAGTACTGAATTCTTCAGGCTGTTGCGTTGATCAAAAACACTGCTGAATTTCACTGATACAGTCTCGTAATGTTTACATACCGAGCAGTTTGAGTTTTAACAGTTCATTCGGGTGATTCTATTAGCGCTTCCAACTCAGTACTGAGATAGCTCACTTAATACACAAGGTTTCTCGATGAAAGATTCACTTGGAAGAATTCCCTTGTAAATGGGTCTCTCGCATAGCATAGTTCATGTACTATACCAATTCCAAAATGTACTCTTGCCATCTTTTACTGTGGCTTACTATAAACACCGTTTACATTCGTATGCTTGCATTCGTATGCTTCCACCGAAGATAGATTGCTAATAGCTTTGAGTCGCTTCGAGCTCCCCGGAATGTACTCTGCTCAAGTCCGCTGACCTATTCTACGCATACTCTTGTATCTCGATTTGTGGCAGAAAGAAAAAACTGAGCCCATTTTATAACTGGGCTGTGCCACAGGCTGCCCATTAAACAGCATCTACTGTGTTGCGCCTTGAATGGCGTCTCTGGCTATTTTGCGCAACTCCGTTGACTCTTTTTTTTGTTAATATTATTGTCATTACTATTTTTTTGTATTTTTTTTAGGTGCCATGAATTGTAATTAATAAAATATAGTTTTAATCATTTCATTGTTCTACGCGTTGTTCAAGTTTTCAGCACATTCATCATCCATACCTGAAATCCATTCCATTCCTCTAGATCTACTTTTCACGAGATCTCTTGCCGTCGACAATTAAAATAATTGACCTGCTTGCCACTGACAAATCACGAAATTTTGCTCAACCTCGTCAGCGCAATCAGGGCAGCCTACAGATTAGTTAGTTATCTGCTAGCAGATAATTGACTAAGCTGTAGGTTGTGCGCGCAATGCATGATTCATAGAACAATATCAATTCAGGTTCCTTGCGGCGGTGTGTTTGACGTTATATTCTTCAAAACAATGTAGATTATAATAAAACAATTATTAGATTCGGTTTTTGTGATATCCTAAATAATCATGGTCTCGGTAAGTGTTATCAGCCTCGGCCTTCGGCTCGGCTCTGGGCTCGGCTGATAACACTTATCTCGACCTTGATTATTCCGGATATCACTAAAACCGAGTTGGAGTACGTAATTGTAGGGAGTCGAGAGGTCGAGAGGTCGAGAGTCATATGTCGACACAATCGCGAAATTTAGAACGCTTTTCCTCTAATTTTGTTTGCAATCGCGAATGATCAGTACTCGTGAAATCCGGCTACCGAATATTCGCGAAATTAAGTACGCGCGAAAATTAGTAAGAATGAGGTATTTATTTCCCTAATGTTATTTTAGATAAATAGTAAACGTTGAGTATGTCTTATGTCCGACATAAGACATACTCAACGTTTACTATTTATCTAAAATAACATTAGGGAAATAAATACCTCATTCTTACTAATTTTCGCGCGTACTTAATTTCGCGAATATTCGGTAGCCGGATTTCACGGGTACTGATCATTCGCGATTGCAAACAAAATTAGAGGAAAAGCGTTCTAAATTTCGCGATTGTGTCTTTGTTTTGTTTTCGTAAATCCCGAGTAGAGGATACTTCGCACATACTAATAAAACATATATATGTCAAAGCAAGGTTGTTAACTTACAACTGCCCTACATAGAACAAACTTACTGTGTATGCTGTCCATGTAAGGTATATCATACAGTTCAGTGCTTACAGTAAAACGCAACCTGAGATGTTCAAAAAATGCACAGTACAAAAACAGTAGTCGACCAGAAAGACGACGAAACTGCATTAAATTCTTATTGCTTTGTTTTCAAAAATGGTATTAAACTTGGCGTGTTTAAATTTCGCGCAATCTTTTGTTTGCGCGTATTAAATTTCGTGAATTTTTTAAAATCGGAAAAATCGCGAAATTTAATACTCGCGAAAATTAGAAAGAATAAGGTGGTTACTGAGTCGTTGTTTGCGTTCAGTTGTGATCTCAGCTGATGTTTTTTATCCTTATATTTCGGTGTTTGTCATTTGTTTACTATCTTCTTCGGTTCAACATTTCCACGAAATTAAACCATTAATAACAAGAGCATTGAAAGGAAGTAAAGGAAGACAGAGGACGTCTGCACAGAGTCCTAAAGTGATTTTTGTGGTTGCGTCGCATCATCCCGCAACTGCCTTCAAGTTACATTTTTGTTCTTACAAGCTTGTCTTTCAGAGATTTACCTCTTTTGTAGGATATGATCAGAGGTCATTTAAAATTTGTTTTCAGCAGAGGCTGATTTTCTATAAGGCACCAACTTGCCATCAATGTCTTGCTTTTTAAGATCGTGTACCGCTAGGTGATATGTTGTAACGAAAGGAAGAAGTCTGTCTATACTTTTTTGCTTTTGTTTTAGAGCCGATTTTCTTATGATAAGTTAAGGTTGACCTCTGATAACGACCTTTCTATATCTTGTTTAGGATACCCGCGTGCTTCGAGGCGTTGTTAAAAGTTCGCAAAGCACTCTTTTAATGTTTTTGATCAAGACTTTGTTCTAAGCAATCTTATTGCTTCGCCTTTAATGAAGCCTCTTCTTACCCCCGGAGGGTGGCAAGAGGTAAAGTGTGTATATTGCATAGCTTTTATGTCGTTTTATGCCTTTGGAATGTTGATGCAAGTAGCAATTTTAATTAAAAACAAACTAAACTCAAATAAAGCTTAAGCTGAGTTCACTCAGGCTCAAGGCTGCCAGCCTTAAGACCCACTAATATTACCGGGGGGTGGGGGTACTCGACGACTACTAAGCATAAGTGAGCCGCTTAGGGTTTGAAACCCTGACAAAAAAAATCGTAAAATATATATCCTGTGTTTCAGGACAACACCTCAATTTTGTTACCCTGTTTAAAGGAAAAAACGCAGGCCGTCTTGTTTTTAAGCCATTTATTGGCAATTGCAGAGCAAATTCACGTTATAGTCATTGCCTTTACATACTTGGAGTACAAACAAATTTCATCCTGTTTATAACTAGGACCCTGTTTAGGACAGACTCGCACGGAATTATTTTCCCGGTTTGTGACTCGCGCGAAATTATATACCCTCTCAGAAGGTTATGGGCTTCTGACCCTGTTTAGGACAGACTCGCATGAAATTATGTGATTTGTCAGGATATTCTGAAACGGACAACACCCAAGAGGCCTACTTGCCAACAGCTAGCATTTGGGGGCAAATTGTCTCTGAGATATTAGCCCAGTTGTGCTCTGAAAACTGCATACAAACCCTTTTAAGAGGCAGTCTCCCTAAAAGCGGTCCACTCGATTTCGCGACAAAAAATACTTTTCCTTTATTTTTTTTCGGTGAAGAGGCTTTAGTAGGTATATACTGAAATCGCTATTTTTGTTTTCAAATTCTTATTCTTAGCTCTGCTACAAGCCAAAAACAAATTGAGTCCGTCTCGGCTTCTCAGAGAGTGTTTCAAAGACTAAAATTGATGGATTTTGAAAAGCGCGTTGCAAACAAACGAATGCCCGCACAAAAAGTCTGTTCGATTCAGTTTTTTTAGTAAACCCTCGATAGTTCACAGGCTAAATAAAAATATCTTTGATCAAAACGTGTTTAAGTTACAGTGGTTCAAAGAATACCTACTTTGCAGGCTTAATCCAAACCCTGAAAGTAAGGAAGATTTGAGGGAAAATATCTCAAAAGTTGCGGCCTAAATCTGGTTTAAAAATCATACCAAAGTAAAGTTTTAAGCTTATTTTTTTGGTTTATAGGCTCAAACTTAAACTATTTCCACATTTCCACATTTCCACACTTCCACACCTCCAGAGTTAAGATAAATTAAGACAAGGAAGACATATTTCCACATTTCCACATTTCCACATTTCCACACTTCCACACTTCCAGAGTTATTAGACAAAGACAATCAAGGAAGACATATTTCCACATTTCCACATTTCCACACTTCCACACTTCCAGAGTTATTAGACAAAGACAATTAAGGAAGACATATTTCCACATTTCCACATTTCCACACTTCCACACTTCCAGAGTTATTAGACAAAGACAATCAAGGAAGACATATTTCCACATTTCCACATTTCCACACTTCCACACTTCCAGAGTTATTAGACAAAGACAATTAAGGAAGACATATTTCCACATTTCCACATTTCCACACTTCCACACTTCCAGAGTTATTAGACAAAGACAATTAAGGAAGACATATTTCCACATTTCCACACTTCCACACTTCCAGAGTTACTAGATAACTTAAGACAATGAGGACATACTTCCACATTTCCACATTTCCACATTTCCACACTTCCAAAGTTAGCAACAAAAAGTACTCGATTCTACCGTGACAAGACATTGTAGTGCGTTCATGTCAATGCATAAGTTTGTCTCTATTAAGACTACCCGGTTGCATACATTTGTCATAAATTAACGATAATGTTTCTCTTTTGCCCATTCCATTCTGATGACGCGTTCTGTGCTCTTCTACCCGAAGTAAAAGCCACTTTGTTTTGAGACGAAGCAAAACACGGATGTTTTCCCTTTTCCCAGGAGTTACTCACGCGCGAAATTGATTGACAGAAAACGATCTTGCTGACAGATATTCGGCAAGATAATTACAAGAGGGCGGAATAGCGGCCTCAAACGTGTGTCTACAGGCTCTCTCCCCCCTTCCCTTCCCTTTCCTTGCTATTTTTTTCCCCAGACAGAGAGCCTGTTCACAGGCTATGCTTTTACTAGTCGACTATAAGCAGATTATTTTTCGAGATATCGTTGGTTATTGTTTTCTACGGAACATTGCTTAACCACAAGTCTCAAATGGAGATATTAGTAGCGTATGCCTTTTTTTTTCTTCTTTTTCTTGTACGCCGCGTTCAAGAAAAAGGATTGTACGAGAACACAGTCGGCAAAACCCATTTTCATTATTATATTAACATTCAAAATCTTCGCTTCTCCAGTAAACCCTTTTCCGGGAGGGTACAGTAGGAGATCACCAGCAGGTCCGTGCATGACGTGAAAAATTTGGGACTGACATCTGCATGCTTAACACAAATTACTTATGGACGGGTCAAGGTAGCATCGAATTGAGTCAACTGAATACAACACAACAGAAAAAGGCTATGTCAGTTGACTCATGAGTCCCGTGGTCTGCTAACGCTACGGTGGTGTATAATGTATGAAGTGGAGAAGTGCTGCTTTATTCTATGGGAGTTCTAGCTACAGTATTTGAGGTTTAAAAATTTTCGTCAGCAATGGTCTGGGCAGGGACAACTAATATTCATCACACGTCGTTTTGTTTTTAAAAAGACTTAGATATCTTGACTGTAACCCTTCTTTGGTACATAGCTACGCCAAATCATCGCCCTGGTTTCGACAACCTGAGACAAGTTAACTAAAAAACCTTGTGCATGTCACAGAACAACATTACTGCTTAACCAACGCAGAAAATAGTTTTTTGCTGACAATTCCCGGAATAACAGTTTAGCTGTGTATTTTGAGCAAGTAAAAAGGTAAAAATTTTGATGGACAATAGAAACAACACGCACTATTAACTTTTAAAAATCAGTTATATGGGGTGACTTACCTTTGGCGGTTTCACTTGAAGGAACACAAACAAACAGCGAGACAGTAAACGAAAAGTAAGAAGCAGGGGAAGTCGAATTGAAAGTAATGTATATCCTTGTATAACTGAATAATACGTGCAGGAATTTTACAGACCCGACGTGACGTACATGACCTCTGTTTATTTTTATTGGCAATAGAAACGTTATGAGTCAGGGTGGGGAGGAGAAGGGGAAGAGGGTTTTTGAAGTACAAAATGATATCGGTGCAAAACCATTTAGAAGAAACAAAATCTTGCACAGCAATCAGTTTAGCATGGGACCGGGCTCCGCAGTTGGGGGAAAATTCAAAGGAGAAAAAAAAAACATCGGCGAGCCAAGCGAGTTAAGCGGTAGTCTGGGGACTAGGGAAAAGGGTCCACGTGATCTTTTTATGCCGTTCCACTCCATATTTTCCCATTTTTTTCCCACAGCGGAACCTGGTCAGGGTACGATCAGCTTATAAACAATTATTCTTGTGAAGCCGGAAGTTAACAAACTAGACTCCCTTAATAAAGGTTTAAGGCGAGTTCACTCAGAGCTGCTCGCCATAAGACGAGGGAATTCGACCAATATTTGAGTATAACGACTCAGTATATTTTTCTTTCGAAAAAAACTCATTTTCATAGTCCGTACCATTCCCTGGTAAAAGGAAAATAAACTTGAACTAAGGAAAATTTTGACCCGATGCATAACAAATTTTATTTTCTTTTTTTTTCTCTTAGTGATGCAATGTTCTCAGAGCTGGTAATTTGGCCTTTAGCCTGGTTTTCATATGATCGTCGGGATCGTCCGGATCGTTCCAGTCGTCTTAAAAAATGTTCAGACGATCGGGACGATCATATGGAAACGCTACCCAGACGATCGCAAACGACCCGGACGACTGAGACGACCTCGATCGCTTGATAGAGTTGAGTTCTATCCGGACTATCGGGACGATCAGTTAAATTTTGAAGCGTTCATATGGAAACGCTCTCAGAAGACTGAGACGATCGGGACGATCGAAGGCTATCCCAGAAGTCATCACTTTTATTCCAGTAATCGAGAATAAATTCGGCCCGGATGGCGCTGAAGCCGAAAAAATAATACACAAATGTTCGCAGCGCGTATGGGGGTTATTTGAAATTAGTGAAAGTCCCTTACATCAAATTTTCGAAGAGATTATGTTTTCGGGGAACTCTTCTAGCTTCTGAATGCCGCAAAATCTACTTAGGTTAATTATTGCAGAGCCCAATTATAGACCCTATCTTAGTCACTTTTAGGCAAATATGTAGTTTTTTGCGACCCCAACTTAGTCACTTTCTATTCACGTATCTACCTTATCAATCCTTCAAATAGGTCATCACAAAATGAATTGACATTTTTTTTTAAATTGAATGAAGAAACACTTTACTTTTCACCTACAGTACAAACATTCTGGTACGTTTGCTAACCGTAAATGTGAAGACCTTTTTTACCCAAAAATCAGAAAATGTGTGACCCGATTATAGTCAATCCAGTCATGAAAATGCGACCCCATCCAGCGGCACATCCCAAGAACCTACCCTTCCCCCGGGTGAGGGGGGGTTGTTTGCTGGGCGCAGGGTGATGTTGTCTTTTGTGGCTTGAAAGGTGAGAGATGTCTCTCAAACACACCAATGAAGTCTACATTGTCTAGAGAAATTGTAGATCACAAACATTGTATCGGTTTCATTTAAACGGTAACAACTCTAACAAGTACAGCTTCCAGCCTCCATTAATTTCCTTATAGATTTTCTACAAGAATTTGTTAAAGGTCAAAAGATGTTTGTTTCGTTGTTACTTGTCATAAGTTTTTCTCTTTATGTAAGTTAAACTTGTTAAGAGAAAATTGATGTTGGTCAACACCTACATTTCTCTAAGAACAGGCAGCAGAGGGTGCTTTTCCTGTCCAGCAAAGGTAAATTCGATCTGCAAATGGCAACATCGCCATGATGTAATCATTGCAAAGGTTATCATGATGATAAATAATTAATACAATTTAACTCAATTTATAAGGAATACCTATAATCAATTCACTAAGTAAGCCAGGGTTCACATAGTCTCTCATACAGCCTGCATTCTTTGTATCTTTAGGCAAAAATTCTCTCCATGCACATGCCTTCATAAGAATCAATGTTGGTTGGAGATGTTGTCATGACAACACAAAGGACAGCTAATTGCTAGCCGTGAAGGAGACCGGACGTGACTTCATCTGCGCATGTCACCTTAGGGAAGTTCTATGGAATCACTGAAGTCACCAGTATCGAATTTTTAGGCGCCATGACGACTAATGATGGTCACAACTTGGAGAGTTGTGGATTTTGCAACATGTTTTCCTGCCAGCATTGATAGGGTGCACTTTGTGGAGACTGCGACTGTGCGGGAAGGGGAGCTACTTCCTGTCTAACCCTCCCTGGGGAGACCAAAGTACCTCCCAAGGGGATCTAGAAACTTAACCCTACCCATACCTGGGCCCCACTTCTCGAAAGGCCAGGAAACTTTCCGGGTCCAAAGGAAATTTTAAAATCAAAACTTGTTGAATAGTAGCACAGCTCCTAGGCTGTTCCATGCTCCAAGATAGTGGTGAAAAGTCGTTCAGTAGAAAGGTGTAAAATAAATGCGAAAAACGCGCGGGCCACCTTTCCCAAGTCGCGCGCGTCTTATTTTCGCTCTGCTCGTTTTAATACGTCCCCACTATGCTATCTGAGAGCCTGTCACAGGCTACACAGTTCCTAGCTCACAAACCAGTCAGTCTATGCTTCGTTAACTGATAGTTTCATTGTATCATTTCCAAAATTATGATCCTTTGATCTTGAATGTACACAGGGTAAACATAAAACAGCTTTCCGGGCTTGAAAAGTTACCAGAACTCTCGACGAACAGGCCCCTGGCCCCAGTTGTTCAAAACTGTGATGGCCGGAAAGTGCTTTCCACTGGATAAATATTTATCCAAAGGATAACGCAATTGTTTTCCTTAATACCTATCCACTGGATAGTGATGTATTCAGTGGATAGCATTTGGGTCTGTGAAAGAGCCCCAAATGGCTAACAGATGAATTTTATGGCTTTATTAAGTCGAGATGACGTTTTTTGTGATTGATTCCTATTTAAAAAACAGTGCAATTAAAAAGGATACAAAGTCATAAACAAGGTATGTGAAAGGGGTACCTACAGGTCACTCAACTCACTGCGTTCTGTACATAAGTTAGATCAGCTGCCGTTTTTTCTTCGCTTTAATCTTGTTTTGAGTTTGTTTTAGGCGAGTGGGTTATCCTCACTGGATTTTGTTTTAGTTGTTTTGTACGAATTAGAGTCTGGGGTGTCCTCGCTTGAATTCAGTTGTTTGAGTTTGTAGAAAGCACTCCATCAACACGTAAAATATCTGACACAACAATGCAGCTATCTGTTCTACGTCACTTCGCTGCTTTCATATCACGGAAAACTCGGCATAATACTTTATTTGCGGTAAAAAAATTAGGAAAGAAAATCTAACGCATGTATGGTTTACATACGAAGACCTGAACCAAGGACACATTGATGGAGAACGAGTGCTCTGACCAATGCCTCACCCCTTCCTTCGTGAGCCTAGTTCAGACATCACCCGGGAGAGCTCCTCACGGGGTAAAATACCATGTACCATATAAAAAAGCAAACCAGTGACACATTTAATTTTATTGTAACTAAAACACAGAAATTTATATTTAAAAAAATAAACAATACCAATGCTATACAATACTGCATTTCAGTCTTGATAAGGATACAATGTAAAATGTTGATTGAATAATTAGAATTATTTTGTATGCCTGTGTAGAAAATCATTTTCATCCTTGGTTCATGCAACAAAACACTGAGTTTCCAAGAACTTTTAGCCTGCGCCGCAGCTGGTGGCGGTTTGTTTGCTGTGTGCAGAGGGAGGGGTGAGGGTGGATGTTTTTGTTTGTGGTTTGTAAAATGAAAGATGTCTCTCAAACACAACAAACAAAACCACCAGCTAGCATACGTAGGTTAAAGATCTTGCCAATCACAAACTTTCCATTGTTTCATCAAAACATTGAGAACTCTAAGAAGTAATTTCCAGCCATTTTGATCTACATGTACTCACACTTGGTCAGTACTAATAACACGGCGTATTTACAAAGCTTTCTGTTTATAAACTCACCAAGGGCAAACACAAATAATATTAAGAGGAGATAAGAAATATTAACTCCATTTACGTACATGTAGCTCTTTTGTTCACACAAAAGATAGCCTGTGAACAGGCTCTCTGTCTGGGGAAAAAAATAGCAAGGAAAGGGAAGGGAAGGGGGGAGAGAGCCTGTAGACACACGTTTGAGGCCGCTATTCCGCCCTCTTGTAATTATCTTGCCGAACATCTGTCAGCAAGATCGTTTTCTGTCAATCAATTTCGCGCGTGAGTAACTCCTGGGAAAAGGGAAAACATCCGTGTTTTGCTTCGTCTCAAAACAAAGTGAAATGGACCGCGAGCCTAATTGTCGATTTTGAAAAAAATCGTTGATCTCCGGTAAGAGAATTAATACGGTGCCGGTCGTTGGCGTTTCAAGAAATAAGACCTTGCTGGTTGACAGTGGCCAAGACAGCGTTGTACTAGCGCAAGCATTTGATTGCTCAAGATTTCCTCTTGTGCAAGGAGAAAGCTTTTCCGATTTAAGCTGCTTAACTTGTGCTCATCGCGCCGTTCGTCTTGCTAGTTCAGTTTCTAATTCAACAAGCCCCTGCAATGAGCGAACTTGGAATGCGAAAGGTACGGATACTATCATGACTTCTCCAGAACGTGAATCTCCAAAGACAAGTACAAAGAAATCAACAGCGCTTCGATCGCCGACAGGAATTACACCTTTGGGTATTTATCCCGCATTTATAGCAATAAAAGAGGGCGGTAGGCCTACACGGCGTTTACCTCACGCCAAAATGCTGCCTGTTCCCATAAGTTTTTTCCTCTGCTCGGTAGATTATGCTCTGGAAGGTTCTACATTTTCACTGAGCAAATATGGTTTTAGCCGCTGGTTTCACACTGAGAGGTCATGGCATACATATCGATTTACTGTGGTTTT